TGAGCCTCTCATGAAACCGCATTCTTCTAGCACTACTACAGTGCTGGAATATATGACTGCTCTCCTCAGCTGAGCTCAGCAGTTTCCAAAGCTAATTATAGAAGTTAACATACGAATTCGGGTAGAAATGTACGAAAACCGATAAGGATTTCCCAAAATTTTCTCAGAATTCTCATATATATTCACCAACACATGTAGTTGACCATGTGCATATTTTCCCACATTTATACTCAGGTGATATGAGGAACAGCTCCAAGCCATCGTCATCGCCAACAGAAACTCCCGGCAGCAGTGCGACTAATCCTGTCACCGCACAACAGCTGAATAACATGGACCCAGCGACTCAGCTGGCTCTACTACTCATCGAGAAGGTGAGAGCTGATTGTTGTAAAATGCTCTTACCAGGAATCGAACCCGCGACCGCTTTTTAATAGACTTGCTTTTTTGACAGGAACGTAAAAAGAAGGAACGCAGGGATCGCAAGAGGAAACACCGCAGAAGGCATCATCGTAACAGATCTCGGTCGAGGTCTAGCCGGTCTCGCAGTAGTAGCACCAGCAGTGACTCTAGAGGGAGGTCTCCATCCCGGTAGTAGACCTATAACATAATGCGCTCCCCTACCTCACTTTTCTAGGCCTACTAATTTCGCCAATATGGTGCCTCCAACACACCCGGACTACCGCCCAGCCAGGATTGAATATCAGCCCATCGATCCATCACAGCACGTCCTCCCACCCACAGCATCACCCTCCCCTCTGGTGAGGCGCTACTGGCCGCTACTCTCAATAGGACTCCCCCTGTTTTTCACAGTCATCCTCGGGCACTTCGAGCGTGTTAAGCGGTGGTGGTATTGTGAACCCTCCATATAGAGGCGCTGATGCTCCTGAGGAGATCGTTGACCCCAGCGACTTTGTCAAGGCTGGCCAGCGGGCTGCTGCTATGCTTATGACCCAAGGTAGGCTACTACTACTACTACTACTACTGCTACTACTACTACTACTACTACTACTACTACTACTACTACTGCTACTACTACTACTACTACTACTACTACTACTACTACTACTACTACTACTACTACTACCACTACTACTGCTACTACTACTGCTACTACTACTACTACTACTACTACTACTACTACTACTACTACTACTACTACTACTACTACTACTACTACTACTACTACTACCACTACTACTACTACTACTACTACCACTACTACTACTACTACTACTACTACTACTACTACTACTACTACTACTACTACTACTACTACTACTACTACTACTACTACTACTACTACTACTACTACTACTACTACTACTACTACTACTACTACTACTACTACTACTACTACTACTACTACTACTACTACCACTACTACTACTACTACTACTACTACTACTACTACTACTACTACTACTACTACTACTACTACTACTACTACTACTACTACTACTACTACTACTACTACTACTACTACTTGCGTCGATGGTAATCGTTGACCAGGTATGGGTGCGCGACCGAAACCGATCGTGTCTGGTCCTATCAAGACTATACCTCAGCGTAGGGTGGAGCTATGTAATGCGGAGTGCCAAACGACAGCACGACCAGATCTTGATAAAGATGCTGTTATCTGGCGACTACGACCTAGAAGTGTCGCTTGAAGAGGCGGTGCTACACCTCCATCATTATAACCATTGTCACCATAGTAGCTTATGCGGCGAACAGTCTTGAGTTCGCAGTAATGGGAGAGTTCACAGCAACGTGGGGTGATTCCC